TCTGAGAGAGGCCGACCCCGGGCCGGTGATCTCGCTCGATTCGAACAGCCGCGAGATATTCCATCCCGATCCAGCGCGCGCTACTGCTGCAGGCCGTCGATCGGCGCGCGCGCGTCTGGCTTCCGATTCCGAGGAGGTCAAAGCAGAGGGCGGTGGTGGCGGATGGAGAATGGACGGTGGGGGCTGCTCTTTGCTTTCTCGCCTTATCCTTGCATTGGGACCTCATTTTCTCGCGAAAGTTCTGGTCGCCCGCGACCGCCGCTGCCTATGTCGGCCTCTTCGCGCCCCCCGTCAAGTTCGACGATTGCCCGCCTACGTCGCCCGCGACTCCGAAGAAGCTTGCATCTCATGTCAGTGGCGCTGCCTACGCCTCGATGTGACAGACTGTGCTCCGCGGCATCAGGACTTCTGTTGCCGCGCGATGTTCTCGCGCGGGCGCTCAGAGGCAATGGGCCCCCACACTCGGGGGGCGCCGCGTCGCGAGCGATCGCGCCCATGTGCGAGCTGAGCACGGACTCGGCCGACGGAGAACGCGCGCGGGGGGCAGATTCTGCGCGCGTCCTGGGGCCGCGAATTATGAGAATTAAATTGTTGACCGCTGCGATTACTGATTTTGTCGCAGTCCTTTTGGACGGTCTGTTTCTGGCGACCAGAAGGGTTTCATTCGCGGCCGCAACTGTTGCGCTAGCACGCCAGAGGTCGACGCGCAATCCCGCGCGCATTCTGCCCGCCCTCAGGCTCATGGTGATTGCCCTTTACTTTGTACTCTCGATAATGGACCTGCCTTCCCCGGCCTGTCCCAAGAGTGCGTTTGTTCCAGTTCTTGCGAAGACGACATGTCCGACGGCGTTGTTGAAGTTTGTCCGGGTTCTCTACGAGGCAGCGGAGGGCTGGGCATCGGCCCATTGGAGCTTGCCGCGTGCATTCTCCATCCGTTCGGGCATGCTCCTGGGCAGTGCGCTCTCTGGCCCTCTCTTCGCTGCTGCTTTGGCCCCTGTCCTGGTTGACCTGCGCATGTACGCCGCTGCCGTGAAGACGAGAGGCCCAACGTCAGTCGAGCGTGCGCTGATGGCCCGGGCGGGGCCCTCAAACCCAGGAAGCAGTTGGCCCGACTCTACCGAGTGATGAGTGCTATCGAGAAGATCGCCCGATCGAAGTCAGAGGCAGCCAGGCGCGTTATTGCGCGTGTCTCGAGGCCCCGACCTTGGCCCCAAACGCCAAATTACATAAGTTCCTCAGAGTGTTCCTGCCGGTCTGGAGCTCGCCCAGAGTCGCCGGTACATTTTTCCATGTGCGAGTGTGGGCTGGACTGCGTGCCAGTCCTGAGGTGTGTGGTGTGATGTAGTTCTCGCCGATGCCTCCGGGCTCGGCACAGATCGCGTTTGGGTGTCAGTCGCAGGTCTTCTGGCTCCCCCTGTAAACCTTCCACGTCGTCGATTGGTTGCGCATCCGCGAGTTCCGTGGTTCCAGCGGGAACCTTGAGCGTCGCGACTTTGGCCAGGGCGGCGATGCGCGCATCGCCTGGGCGTGGTCGCACATTCCATTGGTTGCGCAACCAAAGTGGCAGTGGCGCGCGCGTCGATGATCTGGAGCTGTCGACGCTTCCATATGGCGCTCTCCCCCCCAGCGCTGGAGATCGAAGGCGCCCGTGGAAGGCATGGATGCCGCTGCCCGCGGACCCCGCGTTGAGCTTGCTTCCGAGGCCGCCCGCGCCTGCAAGCTCCCCCTCTCGAACTAACTTCCCTGTCCAGCCTCGGCGCGCAGCGAAACTCGCGCGCGCTGACTGCCGGGGCCCCCGCCCTCTGCTCGCTCGCATTCAGAATCGCTCGTGTAAGCTGTTTCCTGGGCATGCGCCCGTCACTTGGGTGCGATTATGAGGTTGGTCGCGCCCTGCTGCCCCGGGCCCCCCCCCTTCCTGGGAGCCGGCCTGGCTCCTGGCAGCGTCAGGAGGTCCCCTCGCCAGACGCGAGATATTTTTGCACCCGATGGGAGCGGTCTTACTTGCATATGTGGTTGTAGTTTTGCCCCAGACCATTGGAACCATTATGCGCGTTGCCCCAGGTTCGCTTGGCCCGTCTCGCCCCCCCTCCGCCCCCGCCCGCTGCGCCCCCTTGGGCGTGCGACTGCGCCGCCCCGAAGCTGGAAGAGCTGTGCGTGGCGCGCCGCGCCCGCCGCCATCTCCGCCTCCTTCCTCCCGGGGTCTCCTCTTTCACCTCCGGTCTCCACGACGCCGCGCGAGCGGCCGTCCGAGCTGTGCGCATGCCTGCGCGGGCGCTCGCTGCGGGGCAGGGCGGACGCCGTCGTCGTCGTCGTCGCGCGCGTGCCCCTCCCCCTCGCCCCCCCCCCTGCGCCCCTCCCACCGCGGGCGAGGGGCTCGGGTGCTCATATATGTCGAACGCCTCTGCGCTGGAAGGATTCGAGAACCGATGGTCCCAGAATGTTTTTGACGCGCGCGCGCGATTGTGCCCTTACGGTACTTTTTTGAAAACGTCGGCTGGCTCGCGATGATTGTTGTATGACTTCGACGCGCGCGCATGCGAACCGCATGGTTTCTTCTGACAGGATGGGACACCCCTGCGTTTTTGTCGTGATATCAGCGCTCTCGCGCGCACAGGAACTTGACATCTTTGTATTGAAACGCAAGTGTTGTTTCGTACGAGTTGGCAAGATTGCGCTTGAGCCTTTGACGAACGTCAGAGTGGTCTTGGACAAGCTCCAAAATTTGCGAGCGTGCCCACACGTGCCATCTGAGATGGTTCCGGACAAACGCAGTTGTTGGATCGACGCGTGCGCACCGCATGGAATCATTTTGCTGGGATGACGGGCGACCGACGCGCGAAAACACCTTGGCCGACACGGTATCATGAAACAGGCACTTTGAACCAGCGGTCGTGCGTCACCCGCTTACGCAATAGGACGCGTGGAAAGGGAACGGCTATGCGACGAGGAGGGCGGATCGACCCAGCTTCGGCGGGGGGGGTCGAGTCGAATATTTGAGTATATCTGGTGAGATGCGTCACCCGCGTGCGAAAATTGACGCGTGGAAGGGGACGGCTATGCGACGAGGAGGGCGGATCGACCCAGCTTCGGCGGGGGGGGGTCGAGTCGAATCTTGTAGCATATCTGGTGAGAGGCGTGCGGCCGCAGCTCCGCGCGCGCGGGGGCGACGGGGGCGGCGACGGGCGGGCTGTGGGCGAGAGCCCCCCGGGGAGCGCCCGCGGGCGCGCGAGGCGGCGACGCGGGGGCACGGGGCGACAGTCCAGGAAGCGCCAACCAGCGCACGAGGCGGCAGCGAGGCGGCGGCGACCCAGACCTCCTCCTCCTCCTCCTTTTCCTCCCTCCCTCCCTCCCTCCCTCCTCCTCCTCCTCCTCCTCCTCCTCCTCCTCCTCCTCCTCCTCCTCTTCTCAGACCCCTCGAGTCAGGAAACAATCCCGACGGGAGGCTTTTCGCTGTTTTCGACCTCCGGGGGCCGTCACCGGGCTTCGGGGCCGACGACGGACACGACTCCGGGTGAGAAGCTGGTCCCAGGGAGTGGGTCGAGACCTCGGGCGGTCGACGCGATGAAGAAATAACTAATGACGCCGGGGGTCTAGGGGGAGGCGGCAGCGAGGCGGCGACGAGGGAGCACCTGGCGGAAACTTGGAAGTGCCCGCCCATTCTTTAGAAGGTCGGAGGTTGGGGTTTGAGACCGAAGTGAAACGGAGAACCCCCCCCACCAGGAAATCGGTTTCGGTTTCGTGTTCGTGTCGTGCGTGCGGGCGAGGCGAAGCTTTGTGGGCGGTTTCGTGTTCGTGTCGTGCGTGCGGGCGAGGCGAAGCTGTGTGGGCGGCCGAGAGGAATAAACCCGCCGTTGCCAGGGCGAAACTGGGCCAAATGATTGTCCGCCCGGTTGGCCAGCAGTGGCCCGGGGGTGTCCCGATCGGGTCCCGATCGTGTCCCGATGGTGCCCCAATGGTGTCTCGATGGTGTTGTTGCTGCAAGGGCGGAGCCAGGCCGAATGAATTGCCCGGTTGGCCGGCGGTGGCCCGGGGTGTCCCGATGGTGTCTAGATGGTGTCCCGATGATGTCCCGATAGTGTTTCAATGGTGTCCTGCTGCTGCCCCGATGGTGTCCCGATGGTGCTGACATGGTGCCCCAATGGTGTCCACATGGTGTCCCGATGGTGTCCACATGGTGCCCCGATGGTGTTCCGATGGTGTCCACATGGTGCCCCGATGGTGCCCCAGTGGTGTCCCGATGGTGCCCACATGGTTTCCCAATGGTGTCCCGATGGTATCATATGGTGTCCCGATGATGCCAACATGGTGTCCCGATAGTGCCCCGATGGTGCCCCGATGGTGCCCCGATGGTGTCCCGATGGTGCCCACATGGTTTCCCGATGGTGTCCCGGTGGTGCCCATATGGTGTCCCGATGATGCCAACATAGTGTCCCGACGGTGCCCCGATGGTGCACTGCTACTGCTGCGTGCTGCCCGTTTGCGTTGCCAGGCATCGTCACTACGCATTGTCGCCATGCATCGTTGCCATCACAATCGCCATCATGCATCGTCACCAGCATCGCCATGATGTGTCGCCATTAGCTTGCGAGCGCATCACCAGCATGGTCACCATCACAATCATCGCAGTTGCCATCAGTTTGTTCTCCCCCCCCCTCACCCGAAGGGTGGTCGCATTGGTACGCACGATCCCTTCAGTGCAAGCGCCGTCTAAGGGGAAAATGCAACACACACACAAAGCATGAGCACAGAGCACACACACCAGCGAATCGGCGGCGAGCGAGGGGGGGACATGAGAAGGAGAAGGCCTTCTCAGAAGGCGGCGGGGCTTCTCAGAAGGCCTCTGGCCTTCTGAGAGGTTTTTCCACGCCTTCGGGGAAGGCTCAGAAAACTTCTCAGTCGGCTGGGGGACTTCCGAGCCTTCTGAGAGGGCCTTCTCCTTCTCACTTCCCCCCCTCGCTCGCCGCCCAAGAGACACAACACACGAGCACATACCAGCGAAGGTGCTGCCGCAGCTGCTGCAGGAGATGGAGATCCTGAAGGGCGATCAGACGGAGGAGCGCCGGCACTGGGCAATGTTCCGGCCCATGCCCCTGGCGACCCGGGTCCTCAGTGAGGTGTCGGTCTTGCACCAGGCTCGGCGGCGAGCGAAGGGGGGAAGTGAGAAGGAGAAGGCCCTCTCGGAAGGCGGCGGGGCTTCTCAGAAGCCCGCCGGCCTTCTGCGAGATTCTTGGGCTTACGCCACATCGCCGACCCGTTGGGGTATTGGCGGTTGTTGTGTGCTGCTCCTAAGGGCCTCTTGTTCGCCTTTTGGGGGCTTCTTGGAGCTCTTTTGGGGCTTCGTGGGAGCCTTTTCGGGGCCTCTTGGGCTGACATTCCCAGCATATGCCGTGCACACATGGGGAATGGAGCGAGAACCCGTGTGTACAGACGGAGGGCATCTGTCAAAACACCCGGCAAATGAGTATCGAGTGGCCTTCGGCACATCCCGCCACCGTGCTTCGGTTGTGGGTCTGATGCCACTCGGATGGCTGATGGGGTCTCATGGGAGGCGTCTTAGAGGCAGTTTGTCCTAACACTCCTTCGTTGGGTAACTATGCGTTTTGATTAGAACACTACCCGCGCGTTGCCCTCCTCTCCTCCTCTCTCCTGCCTCTCATCTCGCTCCTTCCTGCGTGCCAGCTTGCCTCCTTCCTGGCCATCCCTGAGGGCTGCGATCTGCGAAACTGTAGCCATTTTCGAGGGTTACTGGGGGGTCCAGCGGAGTGACGTCTTACGCGGACCACCAGGAGACCTCTGGGGGCTGCGATCTGCGAAGCTGCAGCCACTTTCGAGGGCTGCTGGATGGTCCAGCCGAGTGACGTCTTACCCAGACCACAGGAGACCTCGCCGTCCCTGTGGGGCTGCGATCTGCGAAGCTGCTGCCACTTTCGAGGACTGCTGGGGGGTCCAGCGGAGTGACGTCTTACCCAGACCACCAGGAGACCTCGCCATCCTTGTGGAGCTGCGATCTGCGAAGCTGTCGCCACTTTCGAGGGCTGCTGGGGGTCCAGCGGAGTGACGTCTTACCTGGGGGCCCATCGGAGTGTTTTTTCTTTTCAGATCCGTATGGAACCTCATGATTTTGAGGGGTTCAGAGGCGGCTGAGGAGGAAAGGCGGAGGAGGAGGAGGAGGCGAAAGAGGAGGAAGGGGAAGACGAGCGGAAGAGGAGGAGGAGGAGGAGGAGGATCCAGGGGAGGAGGTCCGACACGAACGGCCGTGGCGGCGCTTGCGCGGTTCTTGCACTAACTACAAGTAGGTTAAACAATTTGTTCGAGCGCCGCGGCGACATGGCGCAGGCAGCGCTGACTCTTTAGCGTACCACCGACAAAAGCAACATTATTCGGTCTCCTCTCGTCATTATCGTCATGGTCCTCTGCCCCCTGCCACCTTCCCTCTGCTGCTGCCGCGCTGACGGTTCGGCCCCCCACGCGTCCTTCTCATGCCCTTCGTTCCCGCCCTCGTGTCCTTCTCAAGCCTGGGCCCTCGTTCTTTGTCCTTTTGTTGTTGTCTTGTGAATCGCGTCACGTGAGCGGACCCCGTGTAGCTTGCACAGCAGATAACGGCGCCTGCACTGACATTGTTCCGGCAAGTTTGGGCCAGCTCCTCTTGTCACTTGGTGCAAAGGGGTTGGATACGTCACAGGGTAACGGGCACGCGTGGGGGAAACGGGCGAGAACCCACGTATACGGATTGAGGGGATCCGTCGAAACACCCCACGAATGATTATCTAAGACGCCTACGCCGAATCACCGCCGCCCCCTGCATTTTTGGAAGCGCCCATGTGGCCGAACGTTGAGGCCAGACCTGCCAAGCTATCGGACCATGTGTTCCCCGAATCGGTTTGGATAGCCTTCGGGGAACACGTGGGCATCTTGAAGGTCATCTTAGCCGTCTGGAGGCCATTTTGACCCTTTTGGGCCCTCTTGGAGGACGTCTTGAAGGGCTCGTGGGCCGTCTTGGAGGCCATCTTGAGCGTCTTGGAGGCCTCTGGGGCCGTCTTGGGGGCCTCTTGGGGCCGTCTTGGGCGCCTCTTGGGCCGTTCTGGGGCCATCTTGGAGGCCTCTTGGACGATCCTTGGCGATCTTTGGGAGCTCTTGGGCCGTCGTGGGGGCCTCTTGGGCGATCTTTGGGTGCCTCTTGGGGGCCTCTTGGGGCCGTCGTGGGCCTCTTGGGCGATCTTTGGGTGCACTTGGGCCGTCTCGGGCCGTCGGAAGGCAGAAAACAAGCAAACGCACAATCCTTCAAAAACTCCTTGGGAATCAATGATTTTGACCTTTTCGGCCCTTCCTGGAGGCCCTCTTGGAAGCCTCTTGGGCCGTCTTGGGCCATCTTAGGGCCATCTTCGGTCGTTTTGGTGGGCTCCTGGCCCGTCCGAGGCCTCTTGGGCGATCTTTGGGGGCTCTTGGGCAGTTTTGGGCCTTCGGATGGCCGAAAAGGAACAAATTCCAAAAACCTTCAAA